GAATGCGAGCTCAACAGTATCTCATTCCTCATTCTTAATGGCCCAGATTCCAAAACTCACCGACACTAACAAGGTCAATTGGAAACTTGGGCTCAAGACTTATCTCAAAACCCAAAAACTATGGAAACATGTCGATCGTGACACTTCCCTCAACGAGAAGGATCTCAAGGATCCTGAGAAAGTTGAGAATCTCGAGTCTGAACGAGCAGGAGTTCTTGAAATCATTCGAGCAACTGTCTCAGCTACCCGCCTACCCCTCATTCGAGGGATCGAAGACCCAAAGAAAGCCTATGAGACTTTAGTCGAACAGGTCTCCCAGGACGATGGTCTTGAGGTTGCAGCTCTCATCGCTAAAATTGCAACAATTCAATACTCAGGTGCCGAATCTGTCTCTACATTTTTGGACAACATCAATGACCTCCATACCCAGCTTGCCGAAGCCACGTCAAGCGACGAAGCTTTGAAGATCAGTGATAAACTACTCGCTGTATTTCTACTTCTCAGTTTTCCAGGCGATCAATTTGGGACCATCAGGGACCAAATGTTTGGTGATCTGAAGTCTTTGACAACTTCAAAAGTAACTTCCCGACTCCGAACTAAGTCGGCGCTCAGCACCGTCGATGATACCGCAATTGCTATGGCAACGAATGCCCGCCCGGCTTTCTCCTCTCAGTCTCGAAACACGACTCCTCGAACTGACAAATCGCCTAACGCACCTTGTGTTCTCAAGGAGCATTGGCGATTCACACACACCAACGGTGTGTGCTCTCTACAACGACGCGGCAACCATCAGCCACGTCAAGCCACCAATACGCCCACCTCCTCATCTGTACTTGCCCTGTCAGATTCAGAAAAACTGCGCAGATTCAATCAGCTCGCGGCTGCTGGGGTCATCAGTTTTAACACTGAAGCACAAACGAACCCCACCCCATCGGTTCCGTCGACTGAACAGGCTCCCACTGCTGATGATCCGACTGCATCATGCCAGTTTGCAACATCCTACAACACTGTTGCTGAGAATGCTGATGCTGAGGCGTCTTTGTCCATATCCCCCCACTATCCTCCTCCCAATGCGACTCACAAACCTACATTGGCTGATACTGCTTGCAACCGCCACATGTTTGGAGACGCTATTCTATTGGACAACCTACGTGACGTTGACCCTGTCTGGATAAAGGTGGCAAACACCGATTCATCTTCCCGCATTGTGGCTACTCAAATGGGCACTGCGCGACTACACGCTTTCGATCCTGATGGTTCTCCCACCTTGGTCAAAATCCCGAATGTCCTGTACTCACCGTCCCTCCCTGCAAACCTGATCTCCATCACCCAACTCTATGAATCCGTTTTCAAGGCTGTAGACCCTCACTATGGCACAAATAAGGATGATTTGAACCTGTACTACTCAAACCACAAGCATATCATTCCCGCTTACAAAGACGCTGGTCCAGGAGGTTTCTGGAGATTTTATCACTACTCTGAACCACGTGCGTTTTCAGTTGTCTCACCATCTCCCAACGATGCTGATTTGTGGCATTTACGGTTTGGGCACTTGAACAACAGGAGTACCTCAGACATCATGGAAAATGTCTTACGACTTAATCCGAATGCACCGTCAACTTGCGAAGCCTGCACCTTGGGGAAACAGTCGAGGAGCAGTCATTCTGGCTCTCTCCCTAGGTCTGAAATCCCTGCTTATCGCATCCATTGCGACATTGCAGGTCCGTTTCCTGTACCTAGCACTGGCGGTTTTCTGTACTCTATGGTTCTTATAGACGATGCAACAAGGAGAAACTGGGTCATACTACTGAAATGTAAATCCCACGCTTTTGAAGCATTCAAACAATTTCATTCTATGATATGCAATCAAACTACATTCAAAATTGCCATCTTCAAATCCGACCGAGGAGGTGAATTCACAAGCAACGCATTTTCCTCTTATCTAAATGAACACGGTATCATCCATGAGATGGGTCCACCTGAAAGTCCTGAACAGAACTCTGTTGCTGAACGCTTCATGCGCACCAGTGCCAGTCGGCTTTGATCTCAACTCATACATGGTAACCTGCCTATCCGCCTATGGGGTGAAGTCCTCATGGCTACATCTTATATCCTCAACCTTTGCCCTTCGAAATCTGTCCGATACAATTGCCCTGAGTATGCATGGAAAACCCTTGCTTTAAAAATCAAAACCCCCCACATTCCCTATAACCGTCTTCGTGTCATTGGTTTCCTTGCCTATACCATTCCTCCAGGGCATCGAAACAAACTTGATCCTCAATCAACCAAAACCATTATGGTAGGGTACGAGAAGCATTCAAACGCTTACCGCTTGTGGGATCCCAAGTCCAATTGGATTATGATATCTAATGATGTTGTATTTGATGAATCATCTTTTCCTCTCCGCAAACTCGATTCCTCGTCAACTGAAGAACTAACCATACTCAATGACATGAGTTGGGACGAAGTATGGGAATCACCAATATCAACACCCTCACAATCTCAATCCCAATCGGAAGTGATCAACCAACCACGACGCTCTCAACGACAAACCCAACCCATTGAACGTCTTGGTGAACTTGTAGGCCACCACTCTGTAGCTGAACTGAACATCTGTTATCACACTGAAATAGATGACGGTCACGACAACGATGAACCTTCATACACTAAGGCGATGAAGGGACCGAACCGTGAGGACTGGTTGTCTGCCATGGCTGACGAGTTCATTTCCCTCCAGTTGCATGCTGTTGGACGCCTCGTTGAACCACCGCCTGAAGCAAACATTCTCCCAGGAATGTGGCGGCTCAAGCGAAAACGTGACGAGTTCGGTCAAATAACCAAATACAAAGCGCGTTGGGTTGCTGGAGGCAACCACCAAATCAAGGGTGTCGACTTTGACTCAACATACGCTTCTGTAGGCTTAACTGACACTCTCCGAACACTCTACGCCCTCGCCGCAAAAGAAGACCTCGAAATGGCCCAGTTTGACATTGAGACGGCCTTCTTGAATGGCACAATGAAACACAAGGTATATGTTCGTCAAGTCACAGGCTTCCGCGACCCTTCGAAACCCTCACATGTAATGATTCTCGACAGATCTCTGTATGGCACATGTCAAGCTCATCGTGAATTCAATCACGACCTTGATAGTAAACTCAAAATCATGGGTTTTACTGTTTGCCCGGTTGACAATTCTCTCTACACATTACGAGAAGGCTCATCATACATACACGTGCCAATGCATGTCGATGATGGAATGGTATTTTCCAACGACAAAGCCCTAGTATCCAAATTTCGAACCAATCTCCAAGAACATTACAAATTTTGTTGGAACGATGACCCTTCCCTCCATCTTGGTGTACACATATCTCGTGACAGAGCAAAACGCACCATCACCCTCGACCAGTCCCATTATATTGAAGCAATGCTCGACCGCTTTGGCTTATCTGATTGTAATGGCGTCAAGACACCTCTCCCACAAAACATCAAACTATCCTCTCCTTCCCCCGAAGATGCCACCGAGATAGAACAATATTGTGCAGCTGTTGGTATGCTCAAGTTTCTTTCAGTTCAAACTCGCCCCGACATTGCATTTCCTGTGAGCTATCTAGCTCGTTTCAACTCTCAACACAACGAATCCCATTGGTCCGCCGTGAAACACCTCCTCCGATATGTCAAACGCACCATCTCTTTCCGGCTCGTCTTCGGTACTGGGAAAGCCACCAACTCAATCGTTGAAGGTTTCGCTGATGCTGATTACGCTGGTGACATTGACACACGACGATCCACAACTGGATTTGTATACTTTGTACATGGCTCTCTTGTATCATGGAAAAGCCGCCGACAACAATCTGTGACTCTCTCTACGACTGAAGCTGAATATCTGGCCATTGGTGATTGTGCCAAACATGGTCTATGGCTATGCCGACTGATAGAACACATATTTCAACATTCTCCTATTAACGTTCCAATAAAATTACCACTTTCTAATGACAATCAAGGTGCTGTTTTTCTCTGTAATGAAGCCTCGGTAAACAACAAATCAAAACACATTGACATTCGACACCACTTCATCAGAGAACTAACACGTGAAGGTCGAATCACTGTCTCACATGTTTCAACAAAAGAAATGCCGGCTGATGCACTAACCAAACCGGTTGGACCAAACATCCTTTTACTCAGTTATGACCAATTAGGACTCATTGACAACAAAAGGTAGTGAGCAGGGGGGGCTGTTGGAACCAAACCATGAGCTTATAGTTATTCCTCTTTTTTTCTAGTTTATATTTCATTACTTAATATGTGCGCTTTCATCTTATTACAACACTAAGTAGTTTTGTTCCAGGGTTTTACTCACACCCTTTTTGTCTAGCTTAACCTAACCACACAACGTACCACAGAATTAAGCTTATCCTTTCCAGATCTGAGAAAGTTTTCTTTTCTTCATCTTCATTGAAAACTTTCTCATTAAACAACGCATTATCAACTTAATCATCTCTCCGGATAATCTTCTCCTTCTAGACTTATAGACTGATAACCACGTTGTTTTTGATCTGATCAGGTATGAACATATCATTGTTATAATTTCTTTTACTTTGTTATTTGGTTTATGTTGGATAAAAGAAATTCATCTTCATTGAAAACTTTCTCATTAAACAACGCATTATCAACTTAATCATAAACTCAATCTCTATGTTACAAGCCTGTAGTGTGACACTTGTACTTACATATCTGTGACATGTGCCTTGGGTACTTCCTGAGCACTCGTGAGCATCAGGCTAGAGTCCTCACTTAGCAATCTATCTAGTTAGACTGATCAACTTCACCAGTCTCTTGCATCCCTCACTAGTCTGTTCCTAACACTCTAACGTTGCCTAAATTGATACATCATCAGTTCGAAAAATAGAATGTCAGTATGAATGGAAAACAACAAAGGCTGAGTATGTGCTGTCTTTGGTTTTACCTGTAGCATTCCACCCATGCCAAATTTTTCCACGTTCTCAAAAGCCTCTAAACATTGGTTGACGAGTTCTTCAATCAATCCAGACAATAAAGTCTTCACCAAAGATGATCCACCTGGATCACCACTAGAAGATGGGTTCGGGGGTCCAGAAATCGCCGAGACTTGCACATGGACGAGCACAAGTGAAAGCAAAGCATCATACACAAATGCATGTACCTCTGGGTAGTGAGAAGGATAAGTTAGCAAGTGGAAATTGTCATAGGGGAGTCAGTCGCATAGCAATTACGAAAGAATACGCATTAAGCATGTCACTCACCCGTCGGTTTGGGAGCTAGGAACCAGTCCACCTGATTCACTCCAGTGTTGATGATATCTGCAAGTATCACCGACTTTTTCTTGATGTAGTCACCCAGTAAAAGTGCATCAAGCTGTCCGATCACGTCCATCAAAGTCTACACAAAGAGATTTGATCAATGAGCTCAGACGCGCCTGAGATTTGAGCTATCATACATGGACTCACTGCCGTGTCCATGGTCATCTCTACCCGAAATGCAACTTGAGAGTGTCTGAACAATTTGGGGATGTGAGTTCTACGTAGATGTGACAAATTGCTGATTGTTAATAGAACCCGAGTGTCCTATTCGATATCATGGTTGTAGCCCAAGACCATCTTAAGTTTGAATTTTGTTTAAATTTTGAAGAAGGATGATGATGATGATTTGTAGGATTGAAAAGTCTAAAAGAAGAGAATTGAAATGAGATCCCAAAGATTAAGAATTTGATAAAGATTAAAGACATCATTAAACTGAAGATTTCAAAATAAGTTGAAGTTTGAAGATTCAATTTTGATTGATACATAATTGAAGGTTTGTGAAAATGGTGTGACACATGAGAAAGGAGTGTGTGAAACTTGAGAGTATATCATGGGTTTGAAAGGTCTACAAAAGGGACGTGAAAGTGATTACCGTCAGCTGACAGTCAGCACTGTCGGGGACATCCCAGTTGCCCTTGTTCCCAAAACAGTCTGGGTTGGTGTTGTAAAACCCAACACGGGGCTAGCTTGACAAAAAGCCCAGCCAGCCACAGGTGTCCCCTGGATCAGCAGGTGTCAAGGGATGCCGCTGAGGATGAGCTGAGGGGCTTAGATGAAGTGAGCAGATGGGCCAGCCCTCCCTCAGGCTTCTTTGCTAAGGAATTTTGCCTGAGGGAGGCCTGAATCATCTCCGCAGCTTCTGTTGATCACATAATGAGCTGACAATCAGAAAAAAAGGGAAACAAATGGGAACAAAACAGAAACTATTCAACGCTCACATAGTTGTGAGCATCAATTTTTGCCCATGTGACTGGACCCTTCAAAGCCTTTGCCCCCAATTAACATCAGTAAGAAACGCCAATTCACTGGTGTTACTTGCCAATCTCCCCTTTGCATCAATAAGGCACCTCACTCCACCACCTACTATAAAATCCATTATCTTGTAATGCTTGTCTCCACTTTGGTCCATTCATTTCACAGGTAATCTTTGTTGGCCACCTGATTGGTGTTAATATTATAACATTTGTTAATTCCTCTCTTGATGTCTCATCTCTCAATTCTGTTGTCATGCAATTCTGTTCAGGTTTCTTGTTTCCCAACAATTTTCTTTCACTAAATTGCATTACATTTCAACAAACAGGAACACACATTTACAAATAAACCACACATCAACAACCGCATAATGGACATGCTCTATATGAATTTAGATAAAAAATAGAAAAAGATACAAAAAGATAAATCAATAACTACTTAGTAGTCTGATCTTTTGTACTCAATTCTTTTGTATTAACTATTAGAATCATACATTCATCAAATCAGTACACAATTTCTTTCTTAAATCTTATAATATAAGTTTTTATTACTTACCTCCATCTTGACTCTCAAGTTCATTGGTATCATCCTGAACTTGTTGATTTAGAATTGGTGGGGGTTGTTGATATTTGGGACCAAGATTCTTGGTTTTCACCAAGTCTGCGTGGTTCTGATCTTGAATGGAACCAGTACTTACTGAAGTACCTTGGTTTGTTTGATTGGTCACTTGATTTCTTGAAGAATCTCCTTGCACATTTGAAGTTAACATATTTACAATTGAACCATTCTCCGTATCCTTATCATATGCTGTAGCTTTCTTTCTACTTGGTCTTTCTGACATTGATCAATTGAGATTTTTAAATTTTTAAGAAGTAAAGATTTAATACTACAAACGTGTTTAATTTTATTAGAAAGAATTATAAATTTAACAAAAAAGCAGCAAAAAATCCGACTACGTCAAAGCTAGAGCAGGAGACAATACAAGAAGGGAATCCACAGGGAAAGGGGATTCTGGGGTTCAATTTATCCAAGAGGGAGAAAGCCGTAACAGCTGCTCCTCTCTGATATATAGGAGTGAACTCCAGGTCCCAACTGTTCCTGATGAGGTAATCCTCCTCTGAACGGTGTAGAACTTAAAGCTCAACAAGAGCTTTAGAGAGCTTGAAGAGGGATAATCTACTAATATAACTAACTATTAGAAGTTGCCTAAGACTGCCTCTTTGAAAGAATCAACACGGGGTTTTGCTGAGTTCTTTGGGATAAGGCACCAGAGAAATTGTTTTCAATACTTAAGTCAAGTATTGTTCCCGTGAGTTTTTAGAAATAAAAAAACCTCAATATAGTGTTATTCCAATCTGAGCACAACAAAACACACTTTTAATTACTAGCAAAGCAACAATAAATTAGATTGTTATTCCAGAGAAGACTTGTAGTCTTATCACACGTAAAGAAATCTCTCCTTTGATATAAAGAGGCAATTTAGTGGACTTAGTACTGATAAAGTAATTTAATAATGATTAAAAACACTCTAACAAAAGTATAAGATGAGTAAAAAAAGGGAACAGAGGCACGTAAATTCCCTAACAATAGTATATAACACTCCAACAATCCTCAATAATGGTCAACAACCTGCAACAACCTGCAACAACCTTCAAAAACCGTCAAAAATCAACAGAAATCCTCCAATGTAACCATATGATGTCATGAATATCATTGTTTGTAATGATCCAAGGTGTGAATTTGATCAATTGATGTTAATAAATGATGAACAGATCTTCTTATGATGAATACAGGTGTTTTTTTCCTAATATTCATAGCTGAAATCCATTTTTGGAATTACAAATGTTTTGTAAAGTTGTTAAATTTTGGATTACTATAGCTCATTTGATAGCCCTCGTGATACTGATCATTTATCACCCCCATATGACCTATTTCTGATGTGTGATGAATAAGTTATTGAGCTGTAAAGATTGCAAAAATAAGGTTTTGTCATGTAAATGTCACATGTAACCTTCAAATTCGAAATTCACTCCAGTTTCTTTGTTGCCTTATAACTTTTTCACTACTCCTCCGCTACTAATGATTTAAAGATTGTACATTATGAAACCAATGATTCTGCGTCGAATGAACTATCACACACCCAATTCTGACAAGTTTTACCATATGTAATTAACTAAAAACTCCCATTTTTGATGAATTTTGACTATTTTCACATCTAATAATGATTTTTCTTCTGTCAAAAGATCATTCCACAGCACTCCAATCAATCACACAGCATTAAAATCAATCTGAAAAACTCTTGGCGCAATCAATCCATCAATGACATCACTACACAGGAATTAATACCATAGTACCCTTCCTCGAAATTTCCCTTTTCTTGAATAACTTCACACCTCCCTTATCAATCCTCATGATTAAAGTTGCTGATGACTAATGTTATCCTTCTCTTTCACAATAAAACCTTTCTGAACCAATATCTCTTATAATAATAACCTAAAAACCACTTTCCAATCTTTCATACCCATATTTTTGAATTTTTCTTCAACTTTTCTAATGTTATCCTTCTTCTTTCATTCTTTTCATAACAGTTTCCATTCTTCAAGATCCAAACTAAATGTTCTTCTTCTTCCAATTCCTCCTTACTAAGTCTTTTAATTTAATTTTCACTCTTATACTATTTTTATTGATCTTTTCAAATTTTTCTTTTCTCTTATATGTTCTTATCAAATGAATATGTAAATATATTATTAAAAAGATAATGAAATGAAGATTACAAATCAACCTTGAGACCCTTGATGACTAATAACTCCAACAATAACTTTGCCTTTGACTAAAAATATGAATTTTCCAATAATTTTTAAACTTTTTGCTTAAGTAAAGATCTTGCTCACCACAACGGGACATGTCATGCTTGCGTCGATTGGTAGCTTGCTGGCTGCTCAATCTTATCGGTCTGCCCTGAACGGAACTGTTGAGACCCCTTCTCGGGATCTGGCTGACCTGGTACGGGCATTGACAGTAGTACCCTCCCTTGTACCTCATATGGGTACTTGATATGAAATCATCCAAATCGAGAAATTGGGAATGTATTTCCTGGGCCATGGTGTTCACAGGGGCAAAAATTGATGCTCACAACTATGTGAGCGTTGAAATGTTCCTGTTTTGTTCCCATTTGTTTCCCATTTGTTTCCCATTTGTTTCCCATTTCTTTCTGCTTGTCAGCTCATTATGTGATCAACAGAAACTGAGGAGATGAGTCAGGCCTCCCTCAGGCAACATTCCTTAGCAAAGAAGCCTGAGGGAGGGCTGGCCCATCTGCTCACTTCATCTAAGCCCCTCAGCTCATCCTCAGCGTCATCCCTTGACACCTGTGGCTGGCTGGGCTTTTGCCAAGCTAGCCCCGTGTTGGGTTTTACAACACCAACCCAAACTGTTTCGGGAACAAGGGCGGGACAGCTGGGACGTCCCCGAAAGTGCTGACTGTCAGCTGACAGTAATTACTTTCACATCCCTTTTGCAGACCTTACAAACCCGTGAAATCCTCTCATGTTTCACACACTCCTTTCTCGTGCGTCACACCAGTGTCACATTTCTTGGATGCACCAGTTCAGGTTGAGACCCGTCCCCCGAGTGCCGGGTTTCGAGGCGCCGACAAGATATAATTTTTTTTAAGCGTCAGCACGGCACCCGAGCCCGGCAAACCCGATTAATTTTCCCAGCTACAGCCTGAGAACGCCTCCCGGACCGAGAGCCTCGACGGGGGCGCCGGGCGCCGGGGGATTTCCGGGTAAACCCGGTAATCCGAGGCAATCCGAGGCTTGAGAGAAAAAAGTCGTGATTGAAAGAGGTCTAGGAACTCTCTGGGACAAGATATGGCCAGGAGGAGTCTAGTCCCTTGCGCTCAAAACTTCAAAGCAAGGGACTAGACCCATTGAGATCATGTGAGAAATAAGATTAATCATTAAAAGACTTGAGAATTGAGACTCGATTCAAGAGATTTTGATTTAAACATTTCCTTTCGTTTTCCAACCAACAACCCAATCATTTATCTAACAAGAAATTCTAACGACACATTCATATTGAATATGTCAAGCACTCCTACTACTAGTACTAGCTCTGTACCTAAGACTTCCGCAACAGCAACATGACACTTGTACCGTACTGTCAAGAATCTCACTTCCAAGGTCCTCCCTATCATTGTCGATTAGCCTTTTTATACAAATGTCTGCGTTGTTTTGTCTTCGTTGTTGTTTCTATTGCTATATTATCCTCGATTCCTCTCATTGCTTTTATGACTATTCCCCCGGGGTCCCCGAGGAGAATCGTTTTTTTTTTCCTGCCATAACGACCCCCCGGAACGACTATCCCCCAGGGTATAGCCATCCAATACAGGCTGGCTCGAACCCTGAACCCGCCGGGAGCGCCCGCGGGGACCCGATATTCCCCGGCAGTGTCACATTTCTTGGATGCACAGTAATCACCAGAGGACTCAATCAACAAGTCAAACTAGAATCATCTCGTCATCACCAACAAACAACCCACCCAACAGTCAAATGACCACCCACCCAAGACAAATCCAATTTTACCTTCTATAACCATACCTCAAGTTAATCATGCTCAATCTGATCAGACTATCACTTAAAATCCCTCCTTTAATATATCCAACTCTTGTCACCAATTAGTAAGTTTTTCAATCAATCACTCATCAAATCAACTAAGCTTACTTTGTGTTTAATGATAATTAGGTAATCCTCTTCTAAATCAGATCAACAAAAACTTCTCATAACCATTATGTACTATTCATTCTTTTGTTTTTGAAAAACTTCCTTATCCGATAGACTTCCCAGTCTGATACTCTTTTGTATCAGTTTCTAATTTCAATCAATCATTAATATCTGATTCTTTTTCTCTATTTCATTGTATATCATCTCATTTGAACCATATAGTACCAACTACTTAAGACTTTCACATCAGGCGCCTCCTCAACAAAGGTCCAAGTAAGGGAAATACCAAATAACATCAACACCAACATCAAAAACAGGAAACACCAATGATATGCGAAATCAAAACCTACTTACTCCTACTTCACTACCTTGCTCAGGAATTAAAGATGAAGACCTCTTAGTATACTGGGAAGATTCACCTCATCATCGATCCAGAACATCTAATCTGACTCCACTCAAATCAAAACCCAAGCGAGATTCTACAGCAGCAGGAATACCATCACCTTCAAAGACAGTCATCGACGTTCATTCTTCCCCTTCAAATGGGCTTCCACAAGCTCCACTGGGCTTATCCACCGCAAGCGAATCACGCAGGTCACTTAGGCAACATAAGCGATCGAGAGACGCCAATCTTTGAGCGAGGGGAAAACCGTAGTCAACACCTCTGAAAGCGCGTCGAATAGCGCGTCTTCTGCACCGCGTCAGAACACAGAGATTGATGTTTTGCTTAGTCGTCTGGCAGAGAGAGTTGACATGACGAAAGCCAAAGCCTGTGTTGGTCTCCTCTTCCTATTGGGTGATTTCATTTGAAGCCTGTTTGCATATGTACTGACCTTATTTGTTTGTCATTTCACCTTTTTGTTGTTTAGGGCCAATCTTTGTTAGACCCGAACCAGTTAACTGAAAGCCAAGTCAAACACCTATCAGAACTACCCCCATCCTTCCCCGCGTTCTCGCTTCGACCACTAATAGTTATGGCCTTCAAATTCACAAACGTACCCAGATAATCCAAGCCCGAAACCCCTTCTGGGGACCACAATCTCTAAACCCGGCCTCAAACCCAACGCGCATACCTTACAAACGTCCAATCGCGCACCTCTTAAAGTGACTACTCTGGCATTGCAGTCTAAAGCGGTACCCTCCTTGCAGCGGCTTCCTTTGAACTCTACTTCCAACCTTCCTTCTGATCGATCAGTACCCATTACACGCATGGCACGTCCCACAGTCCCTACTATCAACGGCCCCGCTCCCAAACCTCCAAACACGAACTCTGTTAATCTAGCCAATGGAACCCGCGTGGCTTCAGTAGCAGAAGTCTCACCACTCACCAAAAACGCAACAGCGATATCTAGGGTGCCTGCGAAGGTACCACCGCCTGTCCCAAAAGTCACAACAGCTGCAGGACCAAAGATCTTATCGCGTGCACAACCTGCTATCAATCCGGTTGAAACTAATTTCAACACAACAAACGTTACAACTATGAAACGTTTTACAACAAAGAATCCTGTGATCGCATCGACCACCACGAAGACCACCAAGATCACCCCAATCACAATGAAGACCACAACTACAACACCTATTACTTCTGCATCTACTAAAACTACTACCAAGCCTGTTCAACATCATGATGATGAATCAATTTCTTTGCTAAGCGGACTTTGAGCCGGTGACTTGGATTGGGATTTAGACGATTGATTAATAATGGTGAAAGCTTAGAATATCTCTAATAATATAGTTTTATCTCTTTCTGTATCACTAGACAATTTATACTGTGCTTTCTTTACGACTCTTTAAATATGTAATTCAACATGCTTTTATCACCACTGAGCCTTTGTCACATCTACATTTAACTCAACAAGTGCACCGGGCTGTATACTTCAATATATTGCTAGAATTTTCTGAACATCTAGTTTTCCTTTGTCCTGTTCATTTACGATGGGTATGAAGTCTTTAATATAATGCTTTAATTCAGTTTAGGTGATTGTAGATCATATCTCATTGGATCCTTTACATGGCACACATTTAAAACATTAAAGAGAGGGTAAGTTATAAATAGCTGATCAGGGTGTTTGCTTCTTTTGAAAAGTCTTTGTAACATTACTTGACACCCCTTTTGAAATATGTCTTGTAGTGTATAGATCTAAACAGACTCTAGCCTCAGCTATACTTTGGTTAATATCACTCTTATTATTCACTTTTTAACCAAATGATATTCATCATCCATGTGCAGATCTTGATACCTATGTTACATACATTCAAAGTTACTCACAGTACCATTATCCGGATATGATATTCTTGAAGCTATTAAAAGATTGATTTCGGTCATACATATACCCTTAGACTAATCCATTATTTTATAATTGGAGAGAGACAAATAAGCACCTTCCCTTACCCATGTATTCTTCATTTTCTTTTGTGGCCAATTTTCTGCCTGTAAAAGACTGTGAGGACCGGGAACCCATCAAACAATTTTGCTCTACTTATTATGTAAGATACACTGATAGAATTTAGCCAAGATCACATCTATGCTGTGATCAAAGATTTAAGACACCTCTTCTGTTATGACGGGTTCAAGCAAAGGCCAACAAACAACTGACGAGACTCAGAAAGGGAGTCAGAACAAGGATGCTCTGTACCAAAAGTATTGCTCAGTGCTGCTCAAGTGGACAGTCAATTCTTTGTTATTGGCCTTTGCCTTAAGACCGCCTTTATACACAGGCAAGTCATGAAAATAAATTCAATGGAAATGATGCTGTGCAGTTTTTGATTTCAATAACAACTTTAACCACTAAACAAAACAAATGTGCAACGAGAAAGAGAACACTGCGTTTATGATATGAAATCTTAGAATGAAAGATCAAAGAGTGAGTCTGATAACAACTTGAAAAGCTAAGAGTGATGAGCAAAAGACCAAGTTTTGAAAAAACAAATAATGATAAAATGAACTCGTGATAAAAAAGGAAACAAATATCAAAATAAAGAAATGGCCTGAGAATGTATGATGAAAACAATAGTGAACTATTGTGAATGAAATGTCCAAAAGGTTGATCTCAATTGACAATAAAATGATACAACCACAAAGATGAGAACTTTCCAAAAATCGATCGGATCAATGAGATCTAAGCGTGTATTTGTTATTCAGGCTACAGTAGCCACAATAACCAAATTACCTCTTAAAATGTTGTCTCTCTTAAAGTTGAACAAAGAGAATCGTCATCGGAACCTCCTGTAACATCTCTTTTGATAACCTTTCCTTTTAACCGCTTCAAAGCCATCACACGATGTATCTCATTGACTTTAACAATCATCGCATGTACAACTGCCAACTGCCGTCTTGCTTGATCCAAGTTTTCTTGCTGTTCCACAGATAGATGGGCACTGTTTGATGGAGTGAATGCTGATAAGGCGTTGGATGTATGAGAGACTCGAGACCGTTTAGAAGGTAGGTCTAGGTCATGTTGCAACCCCGCCTCAGAAACAGCCACATGTTCATCCAAAGGTTCGATTGAATGAGCCTCTGAAGCTGGTGGTGATGGTGCCGATCTGAGTGATGCAACACTGCCTTTTCTAGATGCCAATTTCATACCGTCACCCGACGCGACAATGAATCAGCCGTTCCTGGTCGCTCCACAAAAGTAGATTGCACCGCATCCGCTAGACCCAAAAAGGACGCAGTGAGGCTGACCAAAGAGGGATAAGGAGGCTTTTGGTCACCAGGTTGCGAATGACTGTTAGCAGCGGGAGGGCTGGGAGATTTTTGTGAAAGCGTGTTGACGTTTCCAAATAATGATCTGAGAGGGGGTAAGGTAGTACTTGTTCCCGAATTTGACTTGTTCGGGGACGTCAAAGGTGCTAATTCTAATTTCTTGGCTTTGCAATCAGGATCCTCGCAGCCCGCAGTTTGGTTGAAGGAAGGATAAGTGGAGTCCGAACCACCCGTTGCTGGACTGTCAACCTACACAAGCAACTCTGAAGCGGAAGTAACGACCGGTACAGCTCTTTACAAAGGTGTGACTCTCTGGATGTTCATCGGATAAGAAGATGGAGATACGGATGCAAGTTGTGGAGGTGCGAGTGGTCTTGAAAGCCGGATGTTTTCCTGGATGATGGCCATGCTTTTGTTGAAAATTTGATCTGAGCCAAAAGTTGGAAGAACTGGGTAGCTATGAGGTGATGGATTGAAGTTGGTGAGAGGAGATAAGGAATGGTGACTTTGTGCAGATCCACGACGACAAGCTTGACTTTGATACACACCGATACAAGCCAAATCTTGGATTGGAATTGAACGTTTGGGGGATAGCGGGGGGTGAGAAATGGAGATGCATATCAAACTCAACCCATCAAAAAACGGGTCTCTGCTCAAAAACCCGCGGAATTTGGGCCGGGTTCCGGCCGTGATTCTTGGGTACCCCGCAAACCAAATTTCAACAGAAGCGGGGTAAATTTGAGGTGTGCAGTGCTGACATGTATGTATTGGGAAGGGTGGTGAAAAAAATGTTTTTTTCCATCTTGAAGAGGTTCTGAGCTGTTCTGAGTATGCCTCATGAGCGGATCCTAATACTTGTCTCAGAGACTGAGCCCACAGAATGCTCATCCAAGATGGAAATCAGCATTCTCGAGCAACGCCAAGCAAAATCTGAGCAAAACAGCCTGATCAACTGAACACTACCAAACTCCTGAATTGAATGATTCTGAAACAAAATGAGTCTTTTTTGGAGTTTTCAGGAAAGTCTACAACGCTCACATAGTTGTGAGCATCGATTTTGGCCCCTGTGGTTGTTGGATCCTGTATTGATCTTCTGGCAAAGGGGGTGGAAAAAATGATTTATACAGTGACAGAAATGGGAGGTCCCCTGTGCTGTATACATAAAAGTGCAGTGAAGTGCAGCACAGGGGTGATATTCTTTGGGCAGAGATGAATTTGCACCAGCAGGAACCTGCGCTGGGGTGCAGTGCAATTCTGTGCAGGGGCTAAAATACCACCAGGCCCCTGTGGTGCAAAACAGTGCAGTGTAGTTTTTCAACTCCCAAGGCACTGGGACCAGCGCACCCAAACTGTTGGTGCGCTGGTCCCAGGGGTTGTGAGTGCTGAATGTCTGATTCCCTTTTCTATTCACTTGTTCAACATCTCTCTTCTCAATTTTTGTTATGCAAAGTAGGTTCTTTGATCAATCACTCATCTTTGTTTGTTGCTCTATTTTAGCAGAATGTATATATTCTTATTCTTCTGTACATAGTTCAAAAAAATTGTGGATAGTACACTCGCCTGGCCCACTGCAATCCCTCCAAATTGGTACAAGCGGAGCAATAGCGGTGTAAAAAATTGCTGCACTCCAAGTAGTGTTCATCTCTTGATTTTTGAAAGCAGATCAAGAGCAATTTGACTTGTAGTAGCTTCTTGCCCAACTAAAAAAATCCCTTTGAGCAGTGCAATGTGGGGTGTTTCAGATGTTGGCTGCAGACTGAAAACAAGATATCTGATAATTGAGAGTTACTGGCTGTGGTCACCTGTTAAGGCCCTAGGTGTGGATCTTGTCAACAGAAGAGAGGAATCAATAGGTCATCTGGTCTCTATTATAAGATTGTCGCATGAAGGAAATAGGACAGTATGAGCTAGTGACGTATATACAAATAGTCTACTATGTGTGACATGCGTGTTGAACCTTTCACAGGTAGAGTCGTAACATTATCCCCCTTTTAATGCCCAAGCTCCCTTTTGCAAGCTCTGCATGCTTCCCCGGGCAGCATTAAAAAACCACATGGGAAAAAGCTTAGCCCTCTCACTGTCTTCTCCGTGCCTTCTTTATCCTTTCTGCATTTGGAAATCTTGTTTTGAATTCTTTCAATAAATCTTTACAATTTTTGAGGTTTGCTTCCGGTTCCCATGAGTCGTGACTTGAATTAAACCCCGTCCAATTTACTAAGTATTCTTTTTTATTTCTTCTCATTCTACAGTCTAATATTGCTGACACCTCCCATTCTTCTTCACCTTCGATTTCGATTGCTGGGCTTTCTTTACGCGCTCTTTGATGAATTGTGTCAGGATTGTGTTTTCTTAGTAAAGACACGTGAAATACATTGTGTATTCCTTTCATGGAAATAGGTAAATTCAGGGCGTAAGTAGAGTCAGAAATGGCTTTAGTTATGTTAAAGGGACCTAGCCATCTGTGTCCCAATTTGGGACTTGGCCTTGTTGTCGTTATATTCTTTGAGTCCAGCCAAACTTCATCTCCTACGTTCCACCGTGGATTTTTTCATACGTGTTTGTCAAATTGATGTTTCATGGTGTCCTGCGATAATTGTAGACAAACAGTTAGCTCTTTTTGTACCTCTTCAAGTAATTTCAATCTTTCTTCAACTAATGGGATACACTGCTCTGGTGATGGGACTTGATTGAAAATGGGATTAAAACCGTAGTTCGCCATAAACGGAGATACCCCGATGGAGTCGTGATCTCGATTGTTGTAAGCGAACTCTGCTGTCGGTAATAAAGACTCCCAGTTATCCTGTCTGTAGTCAACAAAGTGTCGTAAGTAAGTTTCAATTGCTTTATTCACAATTTCAGACTGGCCATCCGTTCTTGGATGAAACGCTGTTGAAGGATGTAAGTTAATGCCCAGTCGTTTGTCAAGTTCCTTAGTGATTTTAGAGATGAATATACTCCCGCGGTCTGACACAATACTTTTAGGTGTGCCGTGTAACTTCCACACGTTGCGAATCATTAAATCAGCTAAGTCCTCCGCCTTCATTGTTTCCTTGCATGGAATAAAATGTGACATTTTGGTGAGTCTATCCACCACCGTAAGTATACTGTCAAGTATACTGTCATACCCATTTGACACTGGTAGCTTCGTAATTAAATCATAAGAAATGTCCGTCCAAGGTCCAGCCGGTACAGGTAGCGGTTGAAGGGTTCCAAAAGGTTTCTGCGTGGTTGATTTAGTGCGAAGACAAGAGTCGCAGCCATCCACATAGCGGTTAACATAGGCTTTTTGCAAGGGCCATGAAAAGCATCGTTTCGTAAGACTCAGAGTTTTATTACGTCCTGCATGACCTGCTAATAAAGTGTCATGTCTAGAGTTAACAATATGAAATTTGATATCATCGTCATTTGGCACCTCAATTTTTCCACGTTTGTACAGAATGCCATCCTTAACTTCGTAAGATCTAGAGAGTTTCTTCATATCCGATGAGATGGGGTTCGTAACTGAGTTTATCAGATTAGTGATTCTTTCATCTTGAGTGTTAGCTTCTCGTATACGTTGTATGATAGTAGTGTCGCTAAGAATGTCATCATCAATAGCATCGATATCAGCATCTGAGACACCTAGGACATCCACTTTGAACCAATGTTCGGCGTCTTCCAAGTCAATTGATTCGTCCATAAAGAACGCATCAATGCTAGCTAATTCAGTTGGGAAAGTATCGGTGCCAATGTTTTCCGGTTTGATCAGTTGTCCGAATGTCAGTCGTTCATCCTCTGGTGGCTTGAGATCAGGGTGTCGAGACAACGCGTCTGGTTTGCTGGATTTACGCCCTGGCCGGAATTTGATGATGAAATCGAAACAACCTAGTGTTTCCGCCCACCGTGCTTGTCGGCGTGTGAGTTGTTTAGTGCTCATAAACGTCTCTAAGTTACGGTGGTCAGTGTACACAATTACTTCAAGCCGGTTGGGATTACCTTTGAGGTAATGCCGCCATTCTTTGAAAGATGCAACGATTGCTAGGAGTTCCTTGTCAAAGATTTCATAATTTCTCTTGGCCTGGATCAAAGACCTTGACAAGTAAGTGTAAGAAAATGAGATCTCGAGCTCGACGCTACTGATCTGTGACAGAAAGACCTTTGACGAGGCAACGGCTGACAACAAAAACTACGAGTTCTAAACTCGGAAAACACTAACCTGGAAGTGGAACGAGGAAGATATGAAGTAATAGAAAACTAGAGAGAAAGAAAGACAAAGACAGAAAGAGACAGTTCACGACAAAAACGGAGATTTAGTTAAGATCATAAGTGTGAAGAAAAATTGAAGAGACTGTTTGTTGATTTTAAAAAAAAACTCACCTTAATAATCTGATTCCTCGATGGGGGGAAAAAGATTATCGAGGGAGAGAGGGAAGGTTAATAAGAAAAACAAAAAGCGAACAATTTTTGAGAACACAACATAAAACAAATAACATTGAACAAGAATCCCTTAATCAATCCCAACTCGGACAAAGCCTTCTAACATTCTCAATTTATAAATCCCAATCCGGTCATGCCATTCAAATCCCTATACATTTTACCTAACACTTCTTCTAACTCTTAAGTCTGTAACTTCTTCTCGTTGTCCTACTTCTTCAGGAGCATGAAGTACTTTTTACCTTAATGGTTTTGACTATACCTGAGACTCAAATTCTCCAACACACCCCCTCAAGACCATTAAGGTTATATTAAACCAATCCAAGTTTACTTCGTAATTTAATGAATTGCTGCTTTCCAAGTGCTTTCGTCAAGAGATCCGCTACCATATCCTCCGTTGAGCAGTGTTGAAGACTGATATCTCCATTCTTGACAACCTCACGAATCCAGTGATGATGGATTTCAATATGTTTTGTCCTACCATGGAATGTTGATTTCTTGGTTAAGTGAATTGCACCAAGGTTATCACTATGTAGGACAGTTGGATCAGAATCATAACATCCGAAAGCTTCCATCATACGACGCAACCACAGTAATTCTTGTCCTGCTTCGGTTACAGCGCGATATTCCGCTTCGGTTGACGATAGGGCAACTGTGGGTTGGAGACGGCTTTTCCAAGAAAGAGCGCCACCAGCCAGAGTGAAGATATAGCCTGTCGTGGAACGCCGAGTTGACTTGTCGCCTGCCCAGTCCGCGTCACAGTGGGAAGTTGGAAGATGGAAACTCTTTTGACCGGACACTCTTGTTGAAATTTTACCATTGTATGTTATACCTAAATCAATGGTGCCTTTCAGATATCTGAAGACTTGAAGCGCAGCGTTCCAATGAGATATTGCAGGTCTGTCGAGATGTTGAGATAAGACGCCGACGGCATGGGCGAGGTCGGGACGAGTACATTGTGACAGGTACATGAGGGATCCTACAGCACTCCGGTA